CCCCCAGGCCTCCCGCAGCCGGGCACCCCCTCCCGCCCCCCAGGCCTCCCGCAGCCGGGCACCCCCTCCCGCCCCCCAGGTCTCCCAGAGCTGGGCACCCCCCTCCTGCCCCCCAGGCCCAGCCAGACAGCAGGCAGCTCCTTGGGGCAGGTAGGGCCCAAGATGCCTGGGGGTGACAGGTCTTCACACAGCTCCGACCGATTGCCCTTCCTCCGTGAACATCCCTGAGGGCCTCTCAAGCCACCCACACCCCACACGGGGAGCCAGGCCATGCTGGGCCCTGCACAGCACACCTGCGTCCTCACAGACGTGGTGAGAAGCTACTCTCCAGCCACATTTCCTCTCCAAAGAGTGGAGAGCCACCCTCTGATCCCGATGAGCCTGGGACCAGGCACGACAGCCTCCCCGGGGCCCCAGGTCACCTGCGGCATCAGCCCCGCCCTTGCTGCCACACCCGCCCCTCTCCAGGAGGATCTTGGGGTGCGGCCACGGGACCCAGAGCCTCAAGTCACCCCGGACCCCAATTGAAGTAGCAGCTCTGCCAATGGCCCTAAGAAGTCTGAGCTTTGCTAGCATCCCTGGGGTCCACAGCCAGCCCCCAGGAGCCAGGAGTCACCTGAGGAGAGCTCCACGTCCAGCGTGTACTTGTGGGAGCCCAGTCCATGGCGCCGCACAAACCCGTCCTCGTCGCTGCTGTCGCTGTGCTCCAGCTCCTCCCCCTCCTCGTCTTCCTGGTCCTCCCCCGAGGCCCCCGCGGTCCGGGAAGGGGGAGGCCGGGCGCAGGCAAGCAGGCTCTTGCTGCAGCAGGGCTCCTCGTCCCCAGGCCTCATGGCGTCAGCCGGACACGGGGTGCCCTCCCCAGAAGCACCGAACGCCACGGCGGGCAAGGTGGCCCCTGGGCCCGTGGCAAAGTCGAATGGCACCAGCAGCCTGAAGCAGCTCTCCACCTCCGTGAGGCAGCACCGGGCTTCGGCAGACATTTCTGCAAAGACGCGGGAACTGCCTGTTGAGTCACGATGCCAGGCAGCAGCACCTCACCCCAGGGTACAGCTCGTGGTCAGAGGCCAATGGAGGGCCAGGTGGCGATGCGTTCCACGGGTCTGGCTGCCCGCCTGGACTCCGGCCCCCTCCTTCCTGCTCCTGGCAGAGGCCAGCAGTGGGTGCGCGGAGGCTCTGCCACGGCTTAGAAACCACCCGGCTATGCAGCTGCCAAGTGCCTGCTGAGGGCTGTCCTCAGTAACACCCTCATGTTTGGACTTCTGCCGGGAGGCCCGTGGGCGCTTCTGCCGGGATGTACCACGGTGGGCAGAACTTCTGGCAGAGAGCGGCCAGCTGAGAGCCGTCAGGACTCCCCAGCCGGACAGCACGCCAGCACGCAGCTCTGGCTGGCTGGTGCCCAGCAGGGCCCTCCCCAGGGCCGCACCAGCACCCGCCTCGGGGCCCTAAAGTGCCTCCAGCTGGGGCCTTCCTCCTGAGTTCCTCTCACCCTGGCTGCCCCTTGTGGAAAGGGCCAGCTGCTCAGAAAAAAGGGTCAGGTTTCAGAAATAGGGCTGCCAGCAAGAGCTGTCCCTCGTCCCAGCTCAGGGACCTTTACGGGGAAACATCGTTCTCAGGCAGCACCACCAGGGGGCGCAGGAAAGGAGGGCCCGCCGGAGCTTCCTGGGGACCAGGCTGGGGGCTGCTGCCAAGGTCAGTTCGGCTCGTCCGCCCACCTGCGGCCCCCATGGCAGGAGAACTCACCCTCCATGTCCTTGATGGCCCGCTCACACCTCTCCCTGTAGATTCTGTCCAAGCGCTTCTGCTTCTCCTCCTCCCGCTTTCTTTCTGCCAGAGTCCGCGCGTTCACATCCTCAAAATCCACCTGAGGAATTGAAGTTGATCAGACAGGACTATGCAGGACACGAGGAAAACGCAGTAAATCACAGAAGCCCAGGAGAAGGCATGTCAGCACCGGCCCTCTGTGCCCTGGGGGTCCAGTGTCTCCGCGCGCGAGGAGACGCACTCATCAGCAATGACTGGTCCCCACCAGGATAAGGGCCGGCAGCGCTTCCAGAAAAGCACACCCACATGGGAAAGCAGCATGCCGCTCCAGCCAGTGGGGAGGGGGCCCTGGACTCCAGGCTGCAGCAGGAGCCGGTCCTGGCCAGTCTCATGCAGCCAGGACCACCAGAGCCCAAGCAGACCCAGGCAGGACTCAAGCTCGGGGTCTGAGAAGCGGACTCCTTTCCCTCGTTTCCGCTTTCTGTGGAAGGCAGGACCCGAGGCTCCACTCCATGTCCCCCTCTTACAGCTGCTTGTCCCCTCCCAGAGCCCCTCCATAATGCTGGCCAGCAGCGAGGGGCTGGGCAGGCCTGCCCACCTGTTTGCCGTGTCTCAGGAAGTGGTAGCCCAAGGCGAGCTTCTTGTAGGCGGCGCCGTACTTTCCGTTCCACTCCTGGACTGCCCGGGTGGCCGCCTGCCTCAGCCTCTGGGCCGCCTCCCTGGGGGGCGGCAAGGGCTGCTCGTGGTTGGTGCCCAGCGTGAGCTCCAGGAACTCCTGGAAGTTGGAAACGACCAGCACCCTGAACTGATGAGACCGGGTGAAGAGCTGGTCCACGATCTGGAAGGCGGAGAGGCGGATCTCGGCATGCCCCTGGCTCAGCTGGGCCGTGAGCAGGCGGTAGGCGCGGCTCAGCTGCTCCTCGGAAGACCTGGAGACAGCAGCCATGCTTGCCGAGTGCCCGCCACTGAGGTCCCCTTGCTAAGTGCTCTGCGTGGGGACGCACTGTCTCCCAAACCCCTCCCCTCCGTCCACAGCAGGGCGGACAGACCGCTGCCTCGGGCCCCTGCCTGTTTCTGCAAGACCCAAGAGCCAAGAATGGTTTTTACGTCATTTAATGGCTAAAACAAATCAAAAGGATAATACTTCATGACACGTAAAAATCACGAGATCCGGTGTCAGTGCCCATAAAGTTTTATTGGGACACGACCACGGCTGCGCCTTCCCCTCGTTCACCGTTACCGCCCACAGCTGAGCAGTCAGGGCACTTATGGCCTGCAAAGCCTGCAATATTCCCCATCTGGCCCGTCACAGAAAGCCTGGGCGAACTCCATCCCAACGGGGGCCACAGCCCCCAGCCTCTTGCAGGTGCAGCCACGTGACTGAAGCAAAAGGGAAAGACCACAGGGCTTCTGGGACCTGTCCCCTGTCGCTCTCCCCAGCTAGCTCCCCTGCAAAGAAACCCACTGCTGTTCTGGAGTTTTCTGGGACATACGCTGAAACCTGAGCTGCACACCTTGTCAACGTGCAAAGACTTCACTATGTAGTCACTTAAAATTCCCTGTTTTGTAGACGCAGAAAAAAGACAATCAGCAAATTTCGACTTACACTCTCAACAGACCCAACTGACAGCCTTTAGAAGGTGTTCACAACACGCTGCCCTACCCTGGGGCCACCTGCCAGGCCCGGCCACTGCAGGCCCTGGGATGCCACCTCCGGAGTGGCGATCCGGAGGGGGGATTGTGGGGGCGGGCGGGAGAGGGCTGGGACACACAGGTGGCGGAAGGCCTGGCCCTGGGGGAAGCCCTACAATCTGCCAGGTGGCATGGGCTCGCTGGGCCAGCCGAGTGGCATGACATGCAGAACCCAAGGACATACTTGCAAATTTTCTTCAGTTGCTTCATTTTCTCGGGGTTCAGCTGAGGTTCTCCTGAAGTCGTGAGCTCTTCTACCAACCTGGAAAGCGTCTGATCCATATCTAGAAATGTGTACGGTAGAGGTGGGACGTGACCCCTAGGACTTCACAGTTCTCCATGTCATTAAATGTGTACTGCGCTCCACGAGTTCCTGGGCCATTCCAGGGGGGCTGCAAGGCTGGGCTCCCCAGCCCTTGCCTCTGGGAGATGGCCTGGAGGCTGAAATATAACAACTCAAGGTGATATTCCGGGCACGGCCAACGGAAAAGTGCAACAACAAACTATTAATTCTGGAGCTCTACGGTCACACAGATGAGAGAGGCTGCAGCAAAGGGTGTTCAGCAACACGTGTTACCGACGGAACACGACGGTCCAAGTAAAATTTAAATTAGCTTTTCCCAAATGTGACGGTGGTGCCTTTTCCTTTTCCAACGTGTTCACTCACAAGCACGAGGCAGCCTTGAGAGTCTGCAAAGGGTGAGTCGCTACAGACTTCGGTAACGAAAGAGCCCCTTGGGGAAGAGCCTAACGTCCAGGGCAGACTAGCAGAGGCGCGTCAACCCAGCACTGCGACGCCAAGCACCTGGCACATGTGCACAAAGGGGAGGGGAGGATGCGGGCCGGGGGGAGAGGCCCCGGGGAGGCGGCCAGCTGCAGGGTGGGTTTATTTGGCAGGAGGCGGCCCGCAGGTGCACACGGGCCCCACTCAACACACGCGTCCAGACGCAGGGAGCTGCGGAGGCGAGCACCCTCCCAGCGTCTCCCCGGCTGCGGACCCCTCCGGGGCGCTCTGCCAGCGCACCACAGCCAAGGACAGAAGGGGGCATCCCAGGGAGGAGAGGGCAGTGTTCAGGGAGGGCGGCACGTCCCGGCAGGAGGGGAGGCGGGGGCGGTGTCCCAAGGAGAAAGCGGATGGGAAGGGGTGAAAAGACGACGAGGAAGCGGTGTCTGGGGGGAGGGGGGCAGAAGGGGTGGTGTCCCTGGGGGTGGTGTGCAGCGAGGAGGAGGGCACGGCACCCCTTCCAGAGGAAGGGAAGGGCGGTGTCCCGGGGGAAGCAGGGGGACCGGGAGTCCCGGCGGGAGGCGCGCGTCCTGGGGAGGAGGTCGGGTGAGGGCCGGGCGGGGCGTGGGGGAGGGGAGGGGCCTGCCCTCGGAACTCCGGTGGGGCCGCAGCCCCTCGCCGGCATCGCGACGGCCGCGACACATACCGCGAAACCAGGCCGCTCGCCTCGCTCCTCCCCTTCCGGCGGAGAGCCCGCCCCTGTCACGTGCCCCAGATCAGTTCAGTCATTGGCTCGCCCTGCCACGGGCAGCGCGGGGACGAAGGTCAGAGCAGCGACGACCTCACCTACGGCGCGAGGGGACTGCAGTCACCTTAGCCCGCCCCTTCCGGCGGAAGCCACCCTGCCTCCTGTCACGTGCCCCCGAGCTCGGCAGCCGGTGGCTCTCCCTGACCCTGGGCGGTGCGAGCGCCGGGGTGGGGCCGAGGTCTGCGCGGTGACGCAGGCGCGCTCCCGGAGGGTCGGGATCGCCCAGGCGAGGGAGAAATAGGCAGCGGGCGGGCGCAGCAAGTCCTTAAAGGGGCCGTGAGCCCGGCTGCTGGGGCGACGCGGGGCGGGGCCGAGGGGTGCGAGCTCGGACTCCACCCGCGGTAGGATAGGGGTTTGCGATCCCCGGGCCCTGCCATCGCGACGGGTTGGCCCGGGTGGGAGCCGGTGCGTGTTTGTCCCGGGGGCGCCGGAGACTATCCCCGACCCCCGCTTCCACGCGCCTTCGAGAGGGGCCGAGAGGCGGGGGTTCCCCTAGGGCTGGGGGTTCCCCCAGGGCCGGGGCTTCTCCTGGTGCTGAGGTGGGGGTCGGAGGCGTGGAAACAGGCGGCCCCCGGAGGAGTCTCGGGAGGGGCAGCACCTGCCAGCGCGCCTGGCCCTGGTCCCCCGGCCCTGTGGTCGGACGCCGCGCGGGTGCCCGCGCCCCTAGTGAAGGCGCTGGTCTGGGCCCCAGCCAGGCCCCGTCTTTTCCCCAGGCCGCCCCTCACCCCCGCCCCTGAGCAGTGCAGGCCGCGGCTGGCCTCGCCGGGGCCCCTCACTCCGTCTGGGGACCCCTCGGGTTTGCCATTCGCTCCTCGTGGGGCCCAGGCCGGGACCCAACGCCGGAGCGCACTCGGGGTTCCCCGGGCTCCCCAGCTGTGGCCTAAGGGGGATCTGCTCCTGACACGCTCCCGGCCAGGCCACGGTGGGCTCCTTTCTCCTCACCTCCCCGGCCTGCTGCACCCCAGGGTCCTCTCGGGGCCAGGCCTGTGGCCTCACTCACCCCTGCTTGGAGCCTGAGCACTGTATGCCCCCCCACCCCACCCCACGGGCTCAGTGGCCACCACCCCCTTTGGCTTTTGTCTCACCCTTTCTTCAGGAAGGCCTTCCTCACCCCCAGGCACTGAGCCCCCGCCCCCGTGCTTTGGGCTCTTTGAAGGGGGGGTCTCTGCGGGTGCACTGCAAGCCAGTTGGATGTTTCTCGGCTCTCAGGTGGGTGCAGAACGGGAGGAAAGCACCAAAGACCCGGGCCCACTGGGCAGGACCATCTGGACATGAAGGCCCACAGCCGGGCGTTCTTAGCAGCAAAGGGTGGAAACCGCTCGTGTCCATCAGTAGACGGTAGACTTCTGTCCTCCCCACAACATGGATGAACCTTAAAAGCAGGGCACTGAGAGAAGCCAGGCAAAAGTGCCAGACATTGTGATGCCACCTACATGAAACGTCCAGAAAGGGCAGGTGCGCAGAGGCAGGAAGCGTGACTGTTACCGCACGAAAACACCGAGCTGTGTGTGTTCGAAGGGTGGCGTTGATGGTATGTGAATTCCCTCTCAAAAAAAGTTGTTGGGAGAGGAAAGGAAGGCGAGCAGCACGCCGCTCCCCCGCCCCCGGGGTGCCTGGTCCCCAGCCTGCGGTCCGCTCTGAGCCAGTGTCACCAGCCTGCCTCCGTGTCCGCGGTGGGCTGGTGTTCTCAGCAGCACGAGAGCAGTTTCTTCTAACAGGAGACTTCCTGCAGCCAGCCCCTCCCCGCCTGTCCTTTGGGTGCAGGACTCTGGAAAGAGCTGTCTGCCCGGCGCCTCGTTCCCTTCCACCCCGGTGCCGTGTGCTGTTTGCACGGTCCAGTCCCGTCTCCTGCCCGCCGCCCTCGTCTTCACTGACGGGATGTCTGTGCTTCCACTTACTCGGGGCCCAGCAGCCACCTCCCATCCCCCCCTTCTGCCCTCACAGCCCTCGAGTCCATTCACCTCGCCCAGCTAGGGTGAAGCGCAGGGCTGCCCCCAGCCCCCTCGCCCCAGCTCGGCCGCCTCACTCCGGGCGGCTGGCCTCTCTGCCTGCGCCCCTGCACCCTCGCTGGCCTGGTAACCAGCCCCCTCCCTCCATTTCCTCAGGTGACTTGACCTCTTTGTTGGCACTCAAAGCAGGGAGACTTCCTGTCACATGACGTTTGTTTTCTCTGCCCTGAAAACACACTCCATGAGGACAGGCTTTTTTAGTTTTGTGACTAAAAAGTGCTCAGTGCTGATGGCAGGTGCTCAGTGCTGATGGCAGGTGCTCAGTGCTGAAGGCAGGTGCTCAGTACTGATGGCTGGACAAACAGGATCGGCCCAGATGAATGTGTTGAGGCCAGAAAGGTATTGTAGGACCGACTGGGACTTTCAGGGATGAACCCCAGCGGGATGAACACAAGCCCAGCTAAGGCACGCCATGGTCAAAATGTGGAAAGGCAGTGACGAAAAGCGGTGGGAGAGAAAGGCCGTCACACAGCGTTATGGAGAGTGAGCAGCAGGTTTCTTATCCAGAACGTCACACGTGTGCAGGCGATGGCATGAAACTGTTAGAATTTGTAAAAGAAAAAGTGTCAACCCAGGGTTGTATATGCAGTGACATGTCCCTCCAAATCTGAACTACATTGAAATAGAGAATTTTCAAAGAAAAGCTGAGTAAGTTTCTTGCCCGCGGGTCGGCCATGGAAGTGTTGGTACAGTGAGTTCTTCAGATGAAAGGCAAACGCAGATGCAAACCTGTGTCTACAAAAGCTGTGGAGAGCGCTGCAATTGGGTAAATAGAAGATCTGTCTTGTTTTAAATTTCTAAATCATTGGCTGCCCATTGAAGGCATGACAGTGTATCACAGGGTGCAGAACGTCTGTAGAAGGAAACACATGCCAACAATAGGGGCAAAGGGCAGAGGAGGGAGAAAAGCAGTTAGTTTCTCAGACCCTTGTGTTTACATGAAGTGGTAAGTATTTGAAGGGAAGCTCAAGATGTACACTGAAGTACCGAGATGTAGCTAAAAAGTCAAAGATAAAAAGAAATAATGTTTACATAGCCTAAAGGCGTCAGGTAACAACAAAAAAGGGAAGAGAGAACAGAATGGACAAATGGAAAGTCCACAGATTTACCTCCAGCAATATTAATAATTACATTAAATGTCAATGGTCTAGATACCTCAAGAAAGGCAGTGATTGTCCAACTGAATTAAAAAGAGCCAAGCTGATAGTGTCTACAAGAAACACTCGGACTGGAGGCAAGAGAGTCAAGAAAGCTATAAATGCTAATACTAAGGATCAGAGCCAGAGTGGCTGGACCCACATCAGGCAAAGGGGACTTTATAATGAGATGTTGCCAGGGAGGGGGCTTGCTCCTAATAACAGATTCCAAATAAATGAAGCAAAAGCTCACAGACGTAAAGGGAACATACACAAGTTCATCTATAAACTTTAAGAAGAAGCCGGGAGGAGATCAGGAAGGGTTGGAGCGACTAACCGCCCATCACAAACTTGGCCCAGTTTGCACTTGGCAGGGCACTGCACCCGGCGGCAGACAGGTGTTCTTTAGAAGTACACACAGAACACTTACCAAGGCAGACATAAAACAAATCTCTACAAATTTAAGAGGGCCAAAACCGTACGGAGTAGATGTTCTACCAGAATTACATTAGAACGTAACAGAAAAATATTTAGAAAGTCTCCAAGTATTTGGAAATTAGCTAACAGACTTCTGTAATCCACGGGTCAAAGGGGGAACAAATCACAATGGAAATTATAAAATATTTTGAAATGCACGGAAATGAAAACATTAAAATGTATGGGAGGCTTATAGTAGAAATGAAAGGCCCCAAAGCAGTAATCTTCCCCCTTAAGAAGCTAAAAACTGAGGGGCACCTGGGTGGCTCAGTCGGTTGAGCATCCAGGTCATGATCTCATGGTTCGTGGGTTCGAGCCCCACATCGGGCTCTGTGCTGAGAGCTCAGAGCCTGGAGCTGCTTCGGCTTCTGTGTCTCCCTCTTTCTGCCCCTCCCCCACTCACGTTCGGTCTCTCAAAAATAAATAAATGTTGAAAAAATTTAAAAAGAAGCTAGAAGAAAAACAAACCCAAAATAAGCAGGAGGAAGAAAACAGTAAAGAAATCAATTAAATAGAAAACAGGGAAACAATAGGAAAAACCAAGCAGGTGTTTCTTTGAACCGATCTAGAAAATTGATAAGCCTCTAGGTAGACATCAAGGAAAAAGAAACAAATGACTAGAATCAGGAATTAAAGGGAGCATCACTACGTATCTTACAGATGTTGAACACATAACAGACTGCATTACGGACACCTTGTGATAACCGCACCCCTGAAAACCTACAGCAGACATGTCCTTCGTGTCCTTCGTGGGGAGAGAGGGCACTTTCCCCCGGAGATCTGAACCAAGACCAGGATTCGGTCTTCCCCTCCCACTTCACCCTGTGCTGCAGGCCTTCCCCACACAGCACGGGGAGAAAGAGCTGTGAGAGCCGTAGAGACGAGACAGGAACAGGCAAATGGTCTCTATTTGCAGATGATACCCTCGTGTACGGAGACGGTGCTTTACAACCTACCAGAGCTCCTGGAACAAATGAGCTTAGGAAGGTCACAGTACAAGATCAACAGACAAAATCAACGTTATGTGCGTTACGTGTATGTTAACCACGCGGGGACAACTGGAAGGTTACGTTTAAAGACGACACTGACAACAGCAGTAAAATCACGAGACACTTAGGATAAGCAAACCGCACTGAGAACTGTAATGCGGTGAGGTCTGGACCCCATGTTCACAGGCCAGCGGCCTCAGTATGGTCGAGATTTCTGTCTCCGTCGTGGACTGAACTGTTCCCCTCACCCAAACTCGTGTTGA